TGTTGAAGGCGATATCGGTGACGGTGAATCCGATGTGTACTCAAATGGGCAACATTTCCCTAAGTCCAGATCCCGTATGGTAGGAGAAAGAGGAATGTGATGTTGGGCAGCAAAGTCTGTGTCCATGAAGCAGGAAGTTGTGCCCGAATCCAATAGCGCCAGAGCCTTGAGTCCTGATTGTCTGGTGAAAGAAAGGAGACATGGGATGCAGAAGTTGCGGGAATTGGTGGTGGCTTATATGAAAGGTGGTGAGGAGCTTGATAAAGAAGAAAAGTGATTTTTATTCGGGGAGTCCAAACAGATAGCTCCTACTCTATTTGGACAGGGTCATTTCCCAATTGCAACAGAGGTGAACCTTGAGGCAGAGTGAACTCGAGCAGTCGAGGAGGCTTCTTGGGATACACAGCTGCTTTGTGATTAGGATCAGCACAATAGAGGCAAAAATTATGAGATACTCGACATTGCTTTTTAGCAGGACTCAGCTTCCCTTTGATGAGTCGGGTAGTACCAGAAATATCCATCGGGACCGAAGCAGTAGTTTCAGAAGTATACCCCAAAGACTCAAGCTGGTATTCCTGAGTTTGGGACGGGAAAACGGTGGCACGGCGACTTTCCTGACGACGTTCAAAGAGACAATTGTCACATTGAACAACTTTGTTAATGGCGTCCGATAGGTCCGTGGGATCCTCTATGGTGAGCAATAAATGCTTGACACCATTCTGCAGACTCTACTCGGATAAATGGAAGAATTCTCATCAAATATTAATCCCACGACCTAGCATCGACAGCTCATGGCAATTGGGAAGGTAAACCCAGCTCCGTTGGTAATATTGGATTATGACTATATAGAAATTTATATGGTGAAGCACCAACAGAACTCTACACCCTTGTGACATATGTATACCGAAGAGATGGCAAATAACCATCCCAATTCGAATACTGAAAGTTTACGTACTTCACGATCATTCCTTTGAATGTCCGAACAAGCCGTTCCACCAAACCATCTAACTGTGGATGATAAACACTCGTGAAAGTGTGGCGTATCCCCAACCGAGATGTCAAAACATGAAATGCCTCAGCCATAAATCCGGGACCATTATCTGAAAGAATCAGCTCCAGACAAGAATGCTGGAACACCACTTGATTGAGGCACAAGGGTGCAGAGTTCTGTTGGTGCTTCACCATATAAACTCCTATGTAGGTATGATCCAATATTACCCACAGATTTAGGTTGTAGTGC